TAATGAAATAAATATTAGTAATATTATCACGTAATGTCCACAGCTCGCTATACTTACTGAGGCAACGAGCATGATGTGCAGGAAATGTTGTGAAGACCTGGCAACGAAAAGACCTTCAGGCAGAAAACGGCACGCATGCATGAACAATAAATTTGGTTTCCGGAAGCAAACCAAAGTGACTGCTCTCATTGTGGCTCTGAGATTTTGGAATCCTATTTCCGCCATGGAGAAAAGCCAATACTGAGGACAATAGTTCAGTTTTAAATAAGTGCCAGTTACAATTCTGATTCAGGCAAACAGTGGCTGATTGGGAAATTGGAAATGTCTGGAGGTGTGGTTGAGGAAACAAAGCAAATTAATGCATTTCTTGATGAAGTTCAAACGTCTTCCTGTCTGCCTTCCACAGCTAAGTAATGCAAATTCTTCTACTTTCAAAGTATGCATTGAGTTTGAAGAACTTTCTTCTTGACTGTCGAGGATGCATGTTATTTAGGTACAGTATGCAGATGTGTGTGAATACATTCCTGAACATATTGTGTCTGAAATGTTGGCATTGCCTGTTCTTTGATCAGTAACAAACAAAGAATGCATAGTACCATTATTATCATCCAGTTATAAAAATTAGTCAATTCAAATTAATTTTAATAGTCAGTATTGAATAGATAATTGTACAGTTGCTTTTTATTTTTACATTTACATTTATTTTACATTGCTTCACTTAAAACTCACTTCAAACTTAAAGTTATTCTTTAAAAACGCTGATAATTTAGTAATACTGTTAAAGAGTTAGTTCACCCAAAAATGAAAATTCATTAAGTGAGTCATTAATTACTCACCCTCGTGTTGTTCCAAACCTATAAGACCTTCATTAAAAACCTTCTGTAAGATATTTTTGATGAAATCTGAGGGCTCTCTGACCCTCCCATAGACGGCAAGGTAACTACCACGTTCAAGGTCCAGAAAAGTACCAAGATGATCGACAAAGTAGTCTGTGTAACATCAGTGTTTCAACTGTAAAGTTACGAAGCTACGAGAGTACTTTTTTGTGCAAAGAAAACAAAAATTCACTTTGGACGCACGTTCACGACAGTACCATGACGCGAGCGTGTGGCCTCATATTTCATCAAAAATATCTTAAATTGTGTTCCGAAGATGAACGAAGGAACGAACCCACATTTTTGGGTGAACTAACCCTTTAAATGTAGTCTTTAGCAAATCCCAAAATATGAATATCCATTTGAAATACTGTATAATGTTGTGATGCCTAAATTCACTTTTAATTTTCATGTTTTATTTTGTTTTATTAATTTATTTAAACAGTATATAGAATTTTAAAAGCAGTCCTTTATTATTAATGATTTATTATTAATATTATTATTATTACTACTACTGCTGCTACTATTATTTATTTATAATAAATAAAAAAAATTATGATAAATAAATTAAATAAGTGTTTTTATAATTAATAAGTGTTTTTTAAATTATCTTCAGAATCTCAATGGATGCAGCAATCCATTTAGTATTTTTTTGCTTTATATGATGAATACTGAATATTTGGGCATCCTGCTGATTTGACATACTACTTTTTACATACTGTGTAGCAGAGAAATGTGTGTATTTGTTCGCAGGAACTGTGCATCCATTCGTCTTAACAGACTTTGGAAAGCCTTTGATTACCCAAGCACAGCTTTCATCCAAAGCTTCGAATTTCCCTCATTTTTCTTTTTCAGTTCAGGCAAATGATTTTCTCACTGTATTTTATCAGTGATGCAGTCTTAGCGGCCATATGTAAGTAGCGCTTAGAGAGCTGGTAAATGACCCTTATGTGTGTCTCTTTCGCCCTAACATCCTCAGGGGACCGGCATGAAAAGATTGAAAGTTTGCGACAGACGTCAGAGAGCGAGGAGTGAACTTGGATGCGTTCCTGAAGGAAGCCAAATGTTGCATATTTAATCCACCCTGGCAGACTCCGAGTCCATGTGAGAATATAGCCTGTCTTGCTGCTGAAAGAACCGATTTTTCTTTGTTGAAACCTTTTTTCTCACTCTAAAATTTCTCTTATTTATGTGGAATTATTTATTTAGAATTCAAGATGAATCTGCTTAATGGTTGTTTCTCTCTTTTAAGATGTTGGCTGAATTAAACGGAATGCTGGTGAATGCGCTCAGCTCCTTATAATAAAACATATTTCTTGCATTTTACAATCGTTTTAATGGCACGCTTGGGGAGATGTAGTATTATAAGTATCCCATATTGCTTTTCTTTCACGATCCTGTCAGAGCACTAATACAGAATATTAGATTTGAGGTGAAATTGTGGTCTAGCTTCTGCCGCTGTGAGAGCAGAGCACATTAGGGAAGCAATCCTGATGATAGTCAGTACCAATGTGCATTTGTCAGCTGTAAACAACCCGATGTTTGGGTGGAACTATTGGGGGAATTATCTGACAGCAGAAGCAGACCTATATATCGTCTCTGGCCTCGACTCATCCTGCCCACTGATATGCTGAAAATGCCATGGCCCTTTATGATTCAGCCACAGTGGAAAAAGAGCAGCAATAATGTTCAGGGCAGAGCGAATTCATCCACCCATGGGTTATTTATTATTAATGGCTTACATTTTGTAAGAAAGAGAGAAAGTGACTGCTTAAAGGGTTCTGGGAGATCATTTTAAAACCTCTGGAAATGTGTTTTGAGAGTTATTTAACATATGAATGTAGTTGTGTGACAGTGGTGGTAAATCCACTCACCTTTACTTGAATCTTAGGTAGTTTGATAGATAGATAGATAGATAGATAGATAGCTTTTCTTTCACGATCCTGTCAGAGCACTAATACAGAATATTAGATTTGAGGTGAAATTGTGGTCTAGCTTCTGCCGCTGTGAGAGCAGAGCACATTAGGGAAGCAATCCTGATGATAGTCAGTACCAATGTGCATTTGTCAGCTGTAAACAACCCGATGTTTGGGTGGAACTATTGGGGGAATTATCTGACAGCAGAAGCAGACCTATATATCGTCTCTGGCCTCGACTCATCCTGCCCACTGATATGCTGAAAATGCCATGGCCCTTTATGATTCAGCCACAGTGGAAAAAGAGCAGCAATAATGTTCAGGGCAGAGCGAATTCATCCACCCATGGGTTATTTATTATTAATGGCTTACATTTTGTAAGAAAGAGAGAAAGTGACTGCTTAAAGGGTTCTGGGAGATCATTTTAAAACCTCTGGAAATGTGTTTTGAGAGTTATTTAACATATGAATGTAGTTGTGTGACAGTGGTGGTAAATCCACTCACCTTTCTTAGGTACTTAGGTAGTTTGATAGATAGATAGATAGATAGATAGATAGATAGATAGATAGATAGATAGATAGATAGATAGATAGATAGATAGATAGATAGAGATGTGTAAATATATATATTTTTTATATACAACTGTTCAAAGGTTTGAGGTCAGATTTGAAGTCTCTTATGTTCACCAAATCTGCATTCATTTGATAAAAAAATACAGTAAAAACAGTAATATTGTTCAATATTATTGCAATTTAAACTAACTGTATTCCATTTTAATATTATGTACAAGATACAGAAATGGATAGAGTGCTGTAGCATAAAAAAATAAGACCTAAAATGGTGCACAGGGACACATTAAGCATCCAAACAAACTGATTAACTAAATTAATTTGGCCTTTCCAATTAATAGTCTGTGAAAATGAAAAAAATGTAGGCGAGCATTTTGGATTATTCCCTGAACTCGCTTGGCAGTAAAGCTGTGTGTGCAAACAGTGTGACATTAAATAAAAAATAAAAAGACAAATATGCACCTATGCATTGTTATTAATACCACATGACTAATTAGATCCTCAGAGCCACATGTGCTCTTTAGGTCTAACAAGCTCACATAATCATGTTACATTTACACATGACCTTTTGATTCCCCTCGTGTGTGATATTGCTCAATGTTTCCTCATGTCAAAGTTAACTTGGAGTTTTAATGCTGCCAAGTCTAGATTTCTTTCCACTTTCCTCTATGGCTATGGTCATCTTCTTTTAACAAGTGTTAGATATTAGTTGTCATCGCTGTCCACATTAATGAATTTAAAGATGTTTTCGTTACAGCTAGCAGACATTTTCAGCACAGAGCCGTTCATTTTATGCATATTTAATGTATTCTGCATAACACCAGGCCAAGAAACGTTACTCATTTTTGCCTATTACTTTTGGATTTTGGCACCATTTGTATGTTTATATGAAAAACTCTGAACCTAATTCATAATGCTGAAATTTTTCTACAGGCTTCTCAAGAGTTTTTGGACATCTACAGAGAACTGGACTCCATAAATAATTTAGTTACAAGCATACAGGGCCAGGGGTAAAGAAGCAATATAAAATTCAAACCAACTATTGGCTCCGAGGTGTAAACCTGAGCCTCACTAAAGAGTTAAATAAAAGAAGATTAGCGAGAAGCAAATGCCTTTTAACCTGAGTTAGTCTGGATATTTAATGCACACCTTCTTGGCTCTGCTCTGATAATGTCACCCGAGGAACGGTTAAGTAAAAGGAGCAATTGCGAACTGATCCAAGGACAGCCTAATGGCCATCATATTCTCAGAAACTGAAGCTCACTCCCAATGATTTCACTGGCACCAAAAGTCATCTCTGCAACTGCCCGTTTTGACGCTCGATATCGATTTCGAGGCTCCTTGCAAAACATCTCTCTTCTCGGGATCAATGGAAATGTAATTTGAGAGAAGCTTCTTCTGCTCTAATGAAAAACTTTGCAAAATACATGTGGTGCAGACAGAAGTTCCTAACGGCTGGTACAGATTAAAGGAGAAGAGATTCTCCTCTAATCAGCTGGCTTTAACTCCCACTTAAAGGAGCACGTAACATTTAGGCTACATTAGAAAATCATGGGCTTTTAGAATCACAGTTCTGTCATCATGTTAATGGAGCCCTCATTCATTGTGATCTGATGTTTTCTGTTTGATTTCTTCTCCAGTGCCCCTCATCACTGCAAAGGGAAATGACATGGAGAGTCCAACAAAGGTAAGGTTGACGCATGTTTACTGTTGTGTATCTGAGTATGACAGCAGTTCGATTTTAAATTCTAGATCTGTATTACCTACTGTTCCTTTGTGTGTATGCTTCTCATGCATGCCTCAAGACCCATCACCCCTTGTACAAGTTTTGTTTATCCAGCACTATGAATGCAAGCTTACCATTACACCCCAAATATAAATAATATATTATATATATGTATATATTAGGGGTGTATTGGTACATTTATACCTGTAATGCACACATCTGTTCCCATTTTTCAAAAAGGATCGTCCTGATAGAGTCTCTGTTAAATCTCACAGACTTCACTGAAGTGAAATGCTAGACTTGGAGGCCAGTAATTCTGACTAAAATATACAGAAACATATTTCATAAATTACTTTTACATTATGCCTTTGTTATCCAAAGTGATTTACTTTGCACTCAAGATATATATATTATCAGTCTACGACCTTGGTGTTGTTACTGTAGCTATATGCTCTACTTAAACAGTCTAAAACAAATTATGAAACCATCTAAAAACCAGTAGTTATGCATTGGTCAAGTCGCCTATATGCATTGTAATGACCAGATTCTAGAGTTGAACAGGTTGCAAACTATTTATCAACTAATTTAATTGATCAGTTATCTGCCACAACATACTGTTTATTATCAGTTATCATTTGTTGCCAAGAATTGCGTCTCTAAGTTAATTTAATCTCTGCATTTTAATCAATACTTGTTTCTTATTTGGTAGCACATCCATCTACAAATTATCAGGCTGTGTCATTGTCTTGCAGTAGGCATTGCATTGAGTTTGTCTAACTATAAGGGACTTTGACAGGGGCCTTCACAGCTGAAATGCTGAGAGAATGATCCTCGCCGCAAGTAACACTTGTCTCTTTTATTATATCAGTCGTTTCTGCTTTCCCCTGATAGGTTTCACAGTTAATGCATTCATTTTCTGATGTAGCTTTTGTTGAGTTTTAAGCAGAAATGCCACTGACATTCTGGGTCAGGAGAGGGAATGAGGGACAGAGAGGAGGAGAAAGAGAAGGTGGGTGCATTGGAATTGGTGGAAAGGAAGATGTGATATATTTGTGTTTAGACCTTGACCCGGGGTCAGATGTGTTTGTATGTCTTGGGTTTTTAGTGATTTCATTTCCTTTTTTGACATTTCTTCTCTTTTCTTCAAGCAAGTGAAATTAAAAGTGAAATAGTACAATAGTTACCCTAGCTATGGTTGAAGGTTCACACATTCATTTATAAATAAAGGAAAACCACTCCTGTACTTCGTATCAATACCAGGGTAGACATTTTAATGCATAGTTCCCACTAGGTCCTTTCAGACGGAGACGGAGAGGAGAAGAAATAGACATGAAATGGTTGAGAAGCTTCTCTTGATTTGCACAGCAGTGGGATGACAGGATGGACAATTGTTCAGGCCCTCCTACTGTTAAATCAATGCTCTTCAAAGACACACATCCTCGAGCTCATGGGGTGAGAGGATTGACTGGTGGTAATCAAAGATCCAGATGAATGGTGCCGCTGCTGTCATTGAAGTTTTTCTTTCTCTGCCTTTTGAATGTGTGTTTAGAAGGCCTGTAAGTCGTTTTGAACATAAATTACATGATGTTGGAATTAATTAAATAAATCACAATTGAATTCATATATCAATATTTGCTAAGAAAGAATTCAGTGACATAGAAAGCATTAGAGAGACATTTTAAAAAATGGAGGTCAGTATACTGTGATTTCTGTTGAAAATAAGCCTATCATGAAAGTTAATTCGCTCTGTAGCATCTTGGCAAATATGTAGAATTTTTATGACTGTGTGTGAAGTTTAAAGCCGTTCATCTTTGTCGATTCGGTTTAATTCCATTGCAGACCTTCCGCTTGTTTCTGAACGCAAGAGCATGTTTTGTGTGTAACCGGCTCTGTCATCTCATTCTGTGCTGCCTGATCTCATTCAGGAGATATGATTATATACAGGTGCATCTCAATAAATTAGAATGTTGTGGCTCTTGATGCCTTGACCCCAGCCTCAGTCCATTCCTTGTGAAGTTCACTCAAATTCTTGAATCAATTTTGCTTGACAATCCTCATAAGGCTGCGGTTCTCTCGGTTGGTTGTGCATCTTTTTCTTCCACACTTTTTCCTTCCACTCAACTTTCTGTTAACATGCTTGGATACAGCACTCTGTGAACAGCCAGCTTCTTTGGCAATGAATGTTTGTGGCTTACCCTCCTTGTGAAGGGCGTCAGATCAGCTGTCTTCCCCATGATTGTGTAGCCTAGTGAACCAAACTGAGAGACCATTTTGAAGGCTCAGGAAACCTTTGCAGGTGTTTTGAGTTGATTAGCTGATTGGCATGTCACCATATTCTAATTTGTTGAGATCGTGAATTGGTGGGTTTTTGTTAAATATGAGCCAAAATCATCACAATTAAAAGAACCAAAGACTTAAACTACTTCAGTCTGTGTGCATTGAATTTATTTAATACACGAGATTCACAATTTGAGTTGAATTACTGAAATAAATTAACTTTTCCACAACATTCTAATTTATTGAGATGCACCTGTAGAGTAGTTAATTAACACTTATAATATAACATATAAATAACAAATTATTAGTTGTGCTAAATTAACATGTTGAATGGACAGCCCTAGTATTTTTATATTTATAAATATATAAAAAATAATTGTTTGTTACATTTACCAAAACAAGTAAAAATTACAATAATGTATTAATTTATATATTATTATAATAATGAATATACAATATACATAAAATTCATACATATTTAATTGTTACTTTTTTAACTACTGTTAAACAAATGTATTTAAAACACTTTTCAGCACCACATAGTTGTTTTTTTAGGCAGAATTTCTTGAAACAGAAAATTGCATCTTAAGTCCCGTTCACACTAGCAGCGACTTTTGCCAGGGGCTGGCGATGAGGTTGCTAGTGGTCGTTCTCAGTACTGGTTGCCTTGACAGCGAATCAGGTTTCTTGCCACTAAGTACAAACATTTTGGAGGCAAAAGACTAAATATAATCTAAATCTAAATGAAATCCTTACATACAAACAAAAATAAATGAGAATCAGAGCTTACTTTCTTCCATTGCGTATGTTTATCTACGGCGCTGAGAGGAGAACGATCACATGAGCTCTACCGTCTTCTTTCCTATTGGCTGTCGCTCCTGAAAGTCGCTCTTCATTTGCATAAAGTTGAAAGATTCTGAACTTTGTCGCGTCGCTGGTCACGTCCCATCCGGTCGCCAACGGCCGCTGTCGCTCATGTTGCAGGAAATCGCCAGCTCTCCATTGAAATTAGTGAGATTGTGTCGCTTTGCTGTTGCGTGTCGCTTGTAAGTCCCATTCACACTGCCAGCGACAAAGCGACAGTGACCGTTGGCGACAGAATGTGGGCGTGTCAAGCGATGCGAGTCAAGCGACAGAAGTTAAGAATTGTTTAACTTTATGCAAATGAACAGCGAATTTCGCGAGCGACAACCAATAGGAGTGAAGAATCTGTCAGTGGCACTCACACGTCACCGTCTCGAGTGCAGGCAAGACAGTACAGATTTCCTGAGCGATTTCATTGTTTTATATGATTTTACTGTAACCACATACATGGTGCATAGATGCGTAGAAAAGAAACTGTTGGCTAAGTGAGTTTGATTCATACATTCATGGTTCGAGTTGTTAATTATATTATGCAGTGAGCAGTTTAGCACCGGTTAATGATTTAATGCACGAGCACTGCTGTAGTTTATATAACAACACTCTCCAACAGCAGAATGGTATTTTTATTTCTTTTAAGTCTAATTCCTAGTCATAATAGAATGATATCTTAGTTTTACCGGCAATATATAGTTTGTGATTGCATTTTATATGTCCAGATATGGGCAGACGTGCAGTCTACCAATAACATTAGAGCGACAACAGTAGGAACGCCCACAAGCGTCTTCACAGCACTCTAGAGTCTAGCGACACACAGTGAAAAAGTCGCTGGCAGTGTGAACAGGGCTTTAAGGTTGGTTGGAGTTCCTGCTTTAGCTAATGACTTTCCCTGATGAATGATTGATGTGATCGCATTAGAGCAGTCTGAGATATTTCAGGTTTGGCATGTCATCACAATTGACACTGTTGCAAACTTAATGTGTTAGAAAAGAAGTCAGGCTAAATGTGAAATTGCTGTCTTATACAGATTCTTACGACTTACTTTCTTGTCTTGGGAGTCACCACTGTGTTAAAAAGATACAGTTTTTAAATAAAAAGATATCCTAGTGTTGGGTTATAGGTAAAGTGCATTTTTGAAGTTTTCTCCATAATACCTGCAGTTCACGTGACACCATGCTGTACAGGACAGTGGTTGCATGCAAATAATGTTGTTGGGTCGTACACTTGTCCTTGCTCTTGGATACAGGTCAGGGATTACAACTTGGTAGAAATATGGAGAAAAACCTGCAACCTGCAAGTAATGTGATTTACAACACAACCAACAGCTCATAAAAGATATACCAAGGTGCAGTTTTCATTTTCAACTTTTCAATCTTGCATGACCTTTGCTGTCAACCTTTTTCTTAATAACTGGCCGCATTGGTCATGCAGCTCGAGGAATGGCGCTGGACTCTGAATCTCAATGGCTCAGGGAACAGAGGGAAAATGAGACTCGACAGGTCACTGGTGTGTGTGTGAAATCCCTTTTGCCCCCCCCCCCAATTTTTATATATATAATTATTTTCAGACACCAGTTGCTTGTCACATTCAAATTGGTTGTCATAGTAATGACACTAATTTGTGGAGATTCAGTGCATTGAGTTCCACAAATCCGAATGCATTATTTGTAAATTGACTGTTAAGATAAACATTTTGCACAATTTAGTATCTGTAATATCATTGTGTTGCCACTAGATGCCTGTATAGCCTAGTGGCTAAGACATTGCACATAATTTACACATAAATCACACATAAATTAATTTTATTACATTTTGATTTGGATA